TATTTTTTATTTATTTATTTCTACAATCAATCAATAAAAAAAGTATAAAAATATAATTTTAAAAAAATCATATTTTGTTTTAATAATGCAAAATGTGTATATGCTATATAAATTTAACTAATAATTTGTTTTTAATGATAAAAAGTTGTACAAAATTATTTCCAAATTGTAAACAAATACTTTTTTAATGAATTAAAAATTATGATAATTGTCACTACTAGTAAAAAGTATGAAAGCTTAATTTTTTTCTTTCAAATGATTCTATCGATTCTGAAAAAATTAAGTACTTTTGTTATCCAGCCGCCCCTACGGTATTCAGCATGCCTATATACATGGGGCAAAAAATGACTTTTTATATTCCAAGCATTCCACTCCTCTGTAAAATAAACGCGACCCTTTTATTCCCACTTACTTTTGATTTGAATATCCTCCGACTTTCGACGCGGAGACGCGAATTTCCTCCTCACGAACAACGTCTTTTCTACACTCAGAATTTAAATTGAATTGTTAAGGAAAAATATTTCGAGCAATTTAACCCGCGTCGGCCGGCCTAATTTTGAAGCTTGCTCTTTCTACTATTCTACGTTGCGTCTTATTTGTACTCTTAAGTCGACTTTGGCTGCCAAAGCGGGATTTCTTTTGTCACACACGAAGCCTTAGCGCGCAGCTAACACGACAAAATACGCATTTGAATGCGCGCACCAGCATTATAAGCAGAAGAAATCGAAGCCCCGTCCAGACGTTTAAGCGTGTTAAGGGGGCGAAATTCATTTATACGACTTCAATCCAAACACTGTGAGCGATCAAAAGCTAATTAAAATAAAAACATATCGCAGACAATAAGAGATATATTAAAAAGTAATTATGAAGTTAGTATCTAAATTTATTATTATATTTATTCTTCTCAATCGATACAAAAAAAATAATAAAATTTGAAAATTAACAAATTTTTTTTAAAATAAAAGGGCTATAAGGCCCGAGACGGCCCTGAAAATAATCAAAGCAGCTCAAAGCACTTAAGTATCTAGAAAAAAGGTTTAGTAGAAAAGGCTGCCTTAACTCATATTTTATATTTAAAAAATAGAGAAAAAAAAATGATAAATAGCACCTCCTGTTGCCCTTTTGCGTAATGATGTATAATACGCAACCCGCGCAACACATAAAATTGAATTTTTTTTGTTGGTAATTTTTTCATTAAAATTTTTATGCTCGCGAGATTTGCATTCAGTACAACAGACTTTTCCATCTCCTATTTTTAAATCAAAAATCGGCTCATTCATTCCTGGGGTGGGGTGGAGTTTTTAAATTATGAATAAATAAGTTTACGTTGACCTTGATTGCAAACCTCGAGGGCATAAAAGTAATTTTTAATTCAACAAATTTATGTGCAAAATTCAATTTTCTGTTTTGCGTGTGCTGCGTTTTATGCATATGAGCAATTAGATCAAGAACAATTGCAGTAATTTCAAATGTTGTAAATTATTTCCAAAGCACGCCAATCCTTTTAAATCAAGACTGCAGTGCACTTTTGCGCGAACTGGGTTGTACGCCCACTTGAGATTAATGATGTATATGTCCTGAAAACCTCCATCCCTACATCTCCATTGTCGAACGTTTTGAAATCAGTGCTGGCGCGACGGCGGCGTTGGTCCAAGTGGAGGACGCATGCATTTGTATTATAAGGATCGAGAAGTGCCTTGTCGGGTGGCGCACGTGGAGTGGCTGAATAATGAGAAACATGCGTGCGCAAACACTCTCCTGCAGCCGAGGGTGCTTTATTTCTTCTCTCTCATAATTTGATTAAAACATTGAGCACCTTCACGCCACGCTAGACGCGATAATGAAGCCGGGCTTCTTTGAGAGAGGTGCATTCACCATGCAGACCAACTTTGATAGGATTTCATGTGAAATGTGCTTCCCCCGTGAGAATCACGCAAATTTCAAGTGACTTTGCGATAATTAACGTTCTTAATTGAAGTGCACTTCCACTTAATTAAGAGGCAGCCACTTGACACTTGTTTGCTTAGTTTCCGAGCCAATTAATATCTCATAAAAATTATGTGATCATTTATTTTTCGGAACAAAGGAGAGAAAATAGAAAGGGGAAAATCTAAATTTAATTATGTTTGGCGGAAAATGAATAAACTACCAGCCAGCAAGTTCCACATTTACTATAATTTAAAAAAATAATAACAAGGCAAAACGAAACCACAATTATATAGGAACTAATGAAAGCTTTTGACTTTTATTATTATTATTATTGCCAATTGTTAAATGAAATTGTTTACATTGAAATTTTGAAAACCATTTGTTTCAGGAAGAAGGTATTGTTGGACAAAATGGCACCACCGCCAGCAAGAAATTTGCTAAAATTTCCGGGAACAGCTTTGCCAGGTAAACAAATCAATTTTAAAATCTAATAAAATTCCTCTTGAATTTTTTATCTCAACCGTAATTTGGCATGGTTCAACTCCAAATAATAATACAACAGTAGGTCTTTGTCGCATCGTTAACAATACATGCACATGCTATTCCATTTTTGAACTGACATAAATTTTAATCATTATTGCTCACAACAATCCTTAACTTCCTTGTTTTACTAATTTTCCTTGCAAAAAAGAGACCAAAATAATCACTTTTTCTCAATCATTTCCAATTTTGAATCTCTCAAAGAGGCTTATTTATGCCTTCAAAAGAGACGCCAATCAATCTTTGCTCGGCGCCTTTGGGCTCCCACGAGGAAAGTTGCTGCCATTTCACGGCGTACCACTTTCTCAAATCAACATTTATTGCCGAACGCGGATTCAAAACGTCAGCCGCACGTTGAGCCATGGTTAGAACAGTCGTTGTTTGAAGGCTGCCAATTGGATTGAATAAAACAAGGAAGCGTTGCAAACCCGTGTAATTGTGTTTGCCGTAAGTGGCTTTTAGCATAAACATTTATCTGGCGCTGCACAACAAAGAGCGAGTCCGATGTGTGCTCTGCTCTATTGATTGACCTCTGGCACCGCACACACTGAACGGTCGTTCTCTCTCTCCCGTGGCTGATTTTTATACCACGCACACGATGTCAATGTCGACCGATCTGCTTTTTTTTCGCACCCAGCCTTTTATGAATTCACGGCAGCAGCTTCCGTCAGGCAGATTATATCGACCATAAACACACAATCTTACGCCTGGAAAAAATAAAAAGCACACCGGCGGAGCGACGCTCTCCATCGGAAAATGTGTTTATGAGCTATCAAAGAGAAAGATGCAAATTAAAGGCGGCAGTATTAAAATTTCCCCCTTCAAATTACTTTCCAACGCGCGACGCTTTTTCGCCGCCGATGATGGTGCCGGGGATTTTTCCGTGCCATTATATGGAGGAAGATGGCCGGGAAATTTTACACGCCTTGATAAAAAAAAGGAAAAATTGTTGGAGAAGGTGCTGCTCTGGATGAGGTTTTTAATGTCCGAGATGAATCTTTAAAAATGAACTGCGAACGCCCTCTTTTTTTATATGAATATTCTTGTTTTACGAGGTGAATTTTATTGCTTTTACAAGGAATTGATCACGATCCGCGCCTCGGCAGTAAAATCGACGCTGGAAGGAATACAAAATTACAACTTGGAAAAGACTCATTAAAGGGACGGGTTTGGACGGTTTTTAAAGCGGCTCGGTTTTAATTTCGTCCTATAAGTGGCGTGCATTTTGCGAGATTTAAGTGGCCGCGCCACCCTAAATAATGGGGTATAACGTGCCGCAATATCTGGCTGAAATGAAAGGAGAGGCCCCTGTGTCGCCGCTAAAAGTCCAATTTTGCCTCCATCTCGTCGCCTCGAGTTTAGGGCGGCAACAACTTTATATATGTGTTGCTTGCTCGGCTTTCTTTTTTTTCTTTTTATTTTCAAATATATATGAAACAGCAGCGGCGCAAGTGAGAAATATACTGTCGGAGACAGGGCGGGGGTGTAAATGAGATTGCCGGGGAAAAAAAAGAGAGCGCTTCTGAGAACGACAGTCTCGCAGCCGAGAAGAGCTGCCGAGGTGAAATTTCGGTCTGATGATGCGTGTGCATAATTTCGTATACACACGGGCGAGCGGTGGCAGTTATTCAGATTTGGCGGCGCTGAGACGAGCGTGCACAAAAAAAATCTGCACGTCCGCACTTTTATCCTCAACAGAGTGCGACTTTATTTCGCTTCACGCTTTTGTGGCCGAGCTAATATCGGAGCAACACGTTCGGCAAATAAAGTGAGAGAAGTGGCGATGAAATACAGGAAAAAAGGAATGTTAAGAATATTCGGACTTTAAAGCGAATTTTTGAAATATCAGTTTTTTTTTGCTTTGATTGTAGAACGTTTTTAATACCCGTACAAAATTTAAGATTTTGATTCAGAGGAAGATAAATGTTTTCTTTACTAAATCCCCTTTTGTGGCAATCAGATTTTTGAGCGCAGTCAGAAAATGAAATAGCCAATGCGTTTATCCGGTTTATATTTATACTACACTCAAAACTGTGACGAAAATGCAAATGGGAAAATTTGAGCACACAAGCAGCGGCAGCGATTTTATCTATTCCGAAAACAACATAGAACCGGGGAAGGAGAGTTGAATCGGATTATTCATTATATAAAATAAAATGAATCACCACACTGACTTGTGATTAATCTGACGAAAAGCGAGAAGCTAAAATTGGCGGCCTTTAATTCAAGGCTAGTCTCCAATCCGAGTGTTTCGCGCAAACTTTTTCGCGGCAGTCGCTTTTGAACCCGATTTCACCACAACCAGCCAAAATTCGTTGCAGATGTAGGCAGCTTAACAAAACAAAAATGTTGTAAGGCTTACAATTTTGCCACTGTTTACCACTACTATACAGTCCAAAATTTATTAATTTTAAATTGGCTTACAATTTCCTCCAATTTACACTGGAAATCAAAATTATTCACACTTTGCGGAAATAATTTGAATGTGAAACTATGTTATGTTGGTACGACATTATTGTTGTTCCAGCCTTCCCGCCGTCCAGTCAGTCGGTGGATCGTTCAGAATTCAGATTCAACAAAATTTGCAAAGATTTGTCATTGCTCCAAACTTGCCATTAGGTTTTTATGTTTATCACCTAATTTTTGCAATAATCAGGAGAATTAACACACTGCTCATTGCATTCCAACAGTTATAATTTATCTAAGTTTGGTGGGATTCTCAGGGAAAACTTGGTGTGGGGGTCCAGAATTGAAACTGGTTGAAGATACTTGAAAATTAAACTAGATTTGCAATTTTTTTAAGCGAATCTACAAATTTTCTGATGAATTTTTCAATCTGCAGGACTAAGAAGAGATTATGTTGGAGGTGGCGTTAAGGGACCAAGGCAAGACTGCTGAAAAAAAGGGAACATTTTATGAAGACAACCCCCAATAAGGAAAGCAAACCCCATCAATAGCAGCAAGCCAGACATCATGGAGATGGAGTCACCCTGATCAAGACCAGCCAGCAGTTCATGACCTTCAATAAAGGTCAGTGGATTATTAAATTATTATTTTTTATTTTTAGATCTAAATTTAATATTCACTTGCGTGGGTTTCCTTTTGCAAAAAACTTGAGACTGCAGCTGGATCAATATTTGCTTATTTACATTCACAAATTTTTGATGAATATTTTTATTTTGTTAAGTATGAAAATGAAAAAAAAATACTAAATTGAACTAGAAATGAAAATTTAACCTGAGATTTATTGAAATGGTCTTTAAATAATTTGAAAGGAAAAACATTTGAATTCAATTCAACACAGATTATTTTGTAAGCTTTTATTGGATCTCAACTTCACCCTCATTTTTGTGATCCTCACAAAATTCTGTTTTGTGCAAGTTTTTTTGTTCGTTGCGATTGGCTAAATTTTATAAAGATCAGGTGGCTTTTAATTGACAGCTGATTTAGTAATGTGGTTAAATCATATTGACACAGGCTAAGAAAAAGTGATTCCGAATGAATTGGGTACAAAAAATTGGAGGTGGGATAAAAAATATTTAATCCGGAACAGCGGCATAAAATTTATCCCTTTGGATTTCTCCCTGTATAGCTTGTTAGAGCAAAGTCTAGGATCTCCACCATTGTTTATCTGTCCACATTTGGTTAAATGAATTGAGTTGTGTTTTAGATTTTTTAACGCAAAATGAATGTTAATGTTGCTGTTATTTTATGAAACTGATTTTAGTTGAAATTAAAAGCTCCGTCAAGATATTTAAAATTTCTCTTTTTCTTTTAATTTTATAAATTTAATGTTACAGTATTTTATAAACAACATACCCTAAATTTTTTTTGAAGTGTTAACAAACAACTCATTCAACCGAGGCTCACTGCAGCGGATGGGGATCTTTTTAATTTTGGAAGTTCTAGCAAACTTTTTCCTAGTGGTGGTGCCTTTTTGTCCAAGCAAACCCGTTTTTCAATCAAATTGTTACAAAAAATTGAGTTTAAACAATACGATGATACAATAGAACAACAATAATTAAATTTAAATTAATAGTATAATCAGTCTTCTATACTTATTAATTTAATAAGGCCATAATTAGTTTATAAAATCGACACATGCATATCTTCGTGTCGCAATAACGCGTCAGCAATTATTCTCGTGGTCGAGCCAGGGCAATACGCCCCAGCACAATCATAATAATTATTGTTCGTGTACAAATGGAATTTGCGTTGCATGCAGCTCATGCAGTCAATTCCAATTTCAACGGCGCCAAATTAACACCTACTAATGCAATAATCACAGTGACGCTTTTAGCGTGCAATGGTACTCACTCATCATTAGCACGTGGTGATATCGACAAATCGACCTTTAAAAAAACGCAAATCACTGTTTGTCCGTTTTTATTGCGCAAAACGTATCGGTAATTAAATATTTAGCGTCTCCGTGATTGCCCTCGTTTCAGGGGCGAACTAAAATCAGCGACGGAGGCGTTTTCAATACCGTGTGCACAAACAAAGCTCTGTGTTTGTTTCATGCAACGCGGTAGTGGTAATTATTGCACTGCAAGTACATACACATGTGTGCATAGGATAGAAACAAAAAGCGAAGCAGCACAATGCAATGAGCATGGAAGCTGCGCCAGGTGCACAGAGTAAACATCATAAAGCGTCCATTTCTCCGCATCGGCAGCAATCAACTGAAGGGCTTGGAATTGAAATAATAATTATATTTATACTTCTCAGTAAAACAATTTCCAGACTTTAATATTTGTTTGCAAAGGAAAATTTTGATGCAAATTATTTGCGAATTCAGAATGATGATTTTGATTAATTGATTGGACTGAATGCTTAATAGATTTATTTGTATATTTAAAGATATTTTTAGGGCAGCAACATTTTGATACATCCGGCCATGATTATGATTACGTGAGCAAAAGGGAATCGTGGCACCTGCTGGGGCGAAATAAATAAATCGGAATCGCACGCAGCGCCAAGGTATGAATGATTACCGCTGGAAAATTGGTCACAACTGTTGCCCAAAAAAGTTTCACGCGCACGTGACACGAGGGCCCAAGTTTAATTTTATTGCCATTACTTTCAAAGACAGCAGCTGCCGCCTCTGCTAGGGTGCATCCAACTTTTCTAGACCTTGAACTAAATTTTGTTCCCCACAGTGATTAAAAAAAACTGCAATTTTTATATTCGATTTAATTAAAATGTTTTTAAATTGATCTTCAACTTTTTATTGCAGAATTTCGTTGGATTAGCTGAAAATTAATTTGTAAATGAAGCGGAGTAAATTTAAAAAAAAAACCAACTTTAAATCTCGGAACATTATAATTTTATCACAAATTTTGAGTAATCGTTCAAAATAACTTAATTTAATTGTGTGAATAGTGTGGACTTGGGAAAGGAACAAATAATGTTTGATTGCAATTGACTTTTAAAAGATCACTTTTCAGAGCCCAGACCGGCCTTCCTCGTACAGACACACATGCGCGCGGATGTGTTGAATGCAAATCCTCTCTGCGAAGTGCGCTGTTTGTAAATCGCCCTGGGGCCGGAGTGACTGTGATCGAGCACACGAAATCTATCTCTCCAACCACAGCAAACTGTTATCCTCGACCGTCGGCCAAGCCAAAGCAGTGACGTAATTAGACGAATTACCAGCGTCAAGCAGGCCGCACATTCGTACGTTCTCCATTTCTGGCTATTGATTTTGCAAAGCTCTCAGCTCGCCTGTTTGTTTGCCACTGCTGCGGTGTTAATTATAAATGCATCCAAAAAGGTTTGGCCGTCGGATTTAATTCCAGGCTTTACTGTGGAAATAAATAAATAATTTGTTAAATTTTACATAAACCCAGAAAATAGCAAAAATCCATGAATTTTTGTTTTGAAAAACTGATTTACAAAAAAAAAAACGGCCTGATTAATGTAAATAAAAAGAGCACTGAAAGTGCATTTAGTTTGCTTAAAATATGAAAATCATAGACTATGGATTTTTTTGGGGGTTTTTAATTAAAAAAAAAGAAAAAATCAGAGTCGCTTGCTGAAGAGATTTTAAACTTAGCAAAGCACTTCTTGCATAGTAACAATGCCAAATATTTGCCGCTTCAAAGCGTATCTCAGCAGCGAGGAAACGCAAACAATCTTGAATGTCCAATTCCCATCCGCAAATACCAATTTTCGTTAAAATTGCGTTCGTCGGCAAAACGAGAGGGCGGCGGGCCAAACTGTATAAATATATTTTAATTGTCGCGGTGGTGCGTATTTAAATTTGCATGAATCTGTGTGAGCGCGCGGAGTTCACATTCCTGCACAGAGCTCTTCGCCGGCTTTTCGTCTCTCGTAATTAATTTCGTACTCTCCGCATTTTACATGCTGGTTTATCATGCAAAGGGATCTTTGCAGTAATACATTGAATTTCGTGGAAAACATTTCCTCATTTAAAAGAGCGAAATCAGCACAATCTTTGCTGGAATTAATTACTTTAGATGAGACTTTTTGTGTGTTGATACTGCTGATAAAAAGTCAGATTACTCAAACATTTGCACAAACCGATTGCGGTCGTGAATTTGTTCTTGATGAATTCAGGAAATGAAAAATTTATGTAATATCAATAAATTATGGTAATTATTTTCAAAAAATTTACCTAAAATTCTACTTTTACTTAAGGATGTATAAGTGTAAAAAACGGTTCAAATTTATTGAAGAGGAACCTTAAATAATATGCTTTACAGGAAAGTCTTATATTAATGGAAATGAAGAAATCGGACTTTTTCCTCATTGCAGAAAATTGTTTTTTTTTTATGCAAAAACAAATGGCTTTACCAATATCAGTCACAGTCTGCGACCCTATTTCACAAGCAAGAGAAATACAAGAAAATAGGTTGGTACTTGAAATTGTTAGTTTTAAGATTTTTAATGTTTTTATGTTAAAATTAGGTGTTTTTTCAATTTTGCTGATTTTTTCTATTTTACTTGCTCATGAAATAGGGTCGCAGACCGTGACAAAACTGGTAGATTCATTTGTTTTTGAATAAAAAACAATTTTCTGCAACGAGGAAAAAGCCTGATCTCTTCATTTCTATGATCATCTCCTCAAGTGTCAACTTCTTGAATCAATATTTATCAAAAAATTATATGATCCTATATTTTATTTATAGCATATTACTTTTTTTAACAATCTTAAGTTCCTCACATTAGATTAGCTATTCATGATTTTACACAATTGCCACTGTTAAGAATAATTTTCAAATTAAGAATGGCAAATGTTTGTTTTGAAACATCCTAATAACCACCTCTTTGTAATCTGCCAGGAATTCCAGAGATTAATTGACCCTGCGAAATTGGCTCATGCGGAAAGTCCAAGAATAAAATAGAGAGTGTATTTGTGTGCGCGAACAGCGGCCAGACTGAATTATTGTCATCGGAGTTATAATTTAGCAAAGTATTAATCAAAAGCAGGACGGAGGCGTCCATATTTCGCGCGCTCATTTCCCTGCAAATCCTTTTCACCGCTGCTCTCGCACGCGCTTTTATTAACTCGTGGAAATATAAAAGCAGCCAAATCGGGCAATGCAATATTAATCACCGCGACTCGCGAGGGATTCCTGAACACAATGCACGCCCCTAAATAATAAATTCGCAGATGTAAACCAACTAATTTAGTATATGTGGCTCCAATACGTATACATTTCCGAGGCCTTTATCATTTTGCAGCTGCATTGTGCCGACTGATTTATCGTACGTGTGTCCGATGACAAAAAAAGGTTGTGTTGCGGCGGCTTTCCCACACCCAGACTGATACTGGCCGTGCCACTTTTGCACCGACGCGCGTTTATTATTCAGCCGCGCTCTTTTCGCGCTATCACAGAACCATCATGAGCCTTTCGAATTATTCAACGACGCTCGCCATATTGCGAGCCCTCCGAGATTTTAATGGAAGCGCTTTTTGTTCCAAGCGTACCCGACGGCAGAAAATTTAACGCGCCTCGGTGAGCAATTAGAACATTATTTTCTGCGGCGAGTGTTTTGTACAGAGT